GTATCAGGAAATGAAATATTGCGATATTTCAGTGTATCGATTTTTTCTTACACCCCTACTTTAAAGTGCCTGTGACATGAAATTTTTGAAATAGATATAAATGCATTTTTTATAAAGAAAGTCACAGGAAGTGATGTTAAAGGTAATCAGAACATAACCAACCCAGATTATAGAGAATAATCTGGTGTTTCTTTGGATTATTTAGGTCTATCAGAGAAGAAGGGTCAAATAATTTTGTTTCAATAAATACAGGCTACCTTCACACTGCAGGGAAATGTGATCCAAATCCAATGTTTTCAGACCCATATTTGATTTTTTTATGACAGTTACTCGTTCGATACTTTATTTCCAAAAATAAAAAGCTTCACCGGAGGTCAGAGGCAGGTTCAGATATAAACTCTGAACTAAACAAGCGTCAGGTAATTATTTAAACCAGCTCTGATTGAACAACTTCAGACTCAAGATGCTAAAAGTAGCATCCATGCTAACTCTGTAAACAAACAGCTGATAAGTCACGACTTTACTGCACGTGCATCACATCAGTGTTGTGTAGAGTTCACACTGGAGTCTGATGCAGGTCACATTTAAAATGTGATGTGAACGTTCACACAAAAAGATCTGATTTTTTTTGCCACTTCAGCAGAAAACAGAACTGAATATCTGAATATTAGCATCTTAGCTTCTTCATCATCAGTGGCTTTTTTTAAAAAAAAATCTGAATTGAGCATTAAGAGCTGCAGTGTGAACGTAGCCACAGGGTGCTCTCTTTCTGAAAGAGTTCCTCTGTGATGTCACTTCCTGTTTTACTTTGGCCGAGCCAAGTTTCAAAGAAAATATGCCATTTATGTGACAAAAGGGATATAATTGTGTGCATTACGTCAAGTTTCTTCAARTTAAAGATGTTTCCTTTGACTTGTTGTATTTGAAGGATGTCACAGGCACTTTAAATCAAAGTTTTCTAACAGGTGTAAATAAAAATAAATCCTGGCTTTTATCATTTTCTCTGAAACGACATTTTTCCTTTGGCGGCTGGCATCTTGTCAGGAAATGATTTGTGTCATTTTGAAGTTTGGGAYTTCTCTGTTTTAAACACAGAGCTAGAGTTTCTGATGACATCACTCCAAACCAATAAAAATCGAGTTAACTAGTTTGTGGTGATAAAAAGGGAGTGCAATGAGACGTTAGTTTTGTATAAAAACATCCAAACTCTGTGATTTACAATTTTCCATAGCTGTGATTTGAGGATGGTGACCTCACTCAGCGGTGATGTCATGAGGTTTGTAGTGCCAATAGAAACAAACACTTTGATAAAACATGAAAATGAGTATGTGAGAACAGAAACTACTCATGTGGGATTTAAAGGGTCACATTTTAAGACATCAGCACAAAACAACTTCCAAACAAACGTCCARGTTAACGTAGTTTTAGTGTTTTGGTCAGGGAGCCTCACCACCATGTGATCTTAAACTCGTAGATGGGTCTCTTGCAGTAGTAATGGTTGATGAGGTGCTTGTCACARACGCCGATGCACTGCTGTTCGGCGGCGATGCCTCGCTCGGCCAGGTCCCCGACTATGCAGTGCAACAGGTCGTAAACGTCCGCCACCGCCTCCCACGGCCCGAAGGACACGTCCACCTCGCAGTGATGCTCGAACAGCTTGGTCTCGCTGTCCGAGCGCTCGAAGCGCAGAGAGTTAAAGAGTGGACGCTCGTACGGCGTGATGGGCATCTCCTCTTTGTACACACAGATCTTCAGCTTGGCAAAGCGCGCCTTCTTCTGCATGGCCCGCAGCTTGGCAATCTCCACGATTCGCTCCAGATTCTCTAAAATGAGACCACAAATTATATTTGGCTTTTTGATACTGTTCTGCTAGTTTTAGCTGATGTTCAGGTCATTTTAGCTTGTGTTTTGCTAGTTTTAGCTGATGTTCAGGTCATTTTAGCTTGTGTTCTGCTAGTTTTAGCTGATGTTCAGGTCATTTTAGGTTATGTTCAGGTCATTTCAGCTTGTGTTCAGGTCATTTCAGCTTGTGTTCAGGTCATTTCAGCTTGTGTTTTGCTAGTTTTAGCTTATGTTCAGGTCATTTTAGCTTGTGTTCAGCTTATTTTAGCTGATGTTCAGGTCATTTTAGCTTATGTTCAGGTCATTTCAGCTTGTGTTCAGGTCATTTTAGCTTATGGTCAGGTCATTTTAGGTTGTGTTCTGCTTATTTTAGCTTATGGTCAGGTAATTTTAGCTTGTGTTCAGCTTATTTTAGCTTACGTTCTGCTTGTTTTACATGTTTTCCTGTTTAAATTTAGATAATGTTCTTATTTTAGCTTGTTGTATATGCAGTTTGTGTTCTTATTTTAGCTTGTTGTATATGCAGTTTGTGTTCTTATTTTAGCTTGTTGTATGTGCAGTTTAACTTGTGTTCTTATTTTAGCTTGTTGTATATGCAGTTTAACTTGTGTTCTTATTTTAGCTTGTTGTATATGCAGTTTAACTTGTGTTCTTATTTTAGCTTGTTTTCTGGTCACTTTAGCTCATGCTCAGATTTGTTCATCTTTATAATTTTTCTAAGTCTTTTGTCTCGTCCTGTGACTGCAGACAGTGATCGACATACTTTACTCAACACTTTAAATTTTAAATGTTCTTTATAAATAAAACAGCTGAACTTTAGCTGCTCATGAAATCTTATGTTTTATTGCATAAAGCTCAAACTGTGTCTGAATTATTAATGATAAAAGCTGTGTGTTTTTTCTGCTGTAGAACTGTAGAATCCTTTAGACTCTTGTTAATATTTAGACTTTATAAGATCAAAGCAAACTTTGCAGATGTTGACAGATTGTTGTTTATTATTGTTTATTATTTATTTATTATTGTTCTGACTCTACCTTTGTAGTAGGGCAGCAGGTCGAGGAAAGCTTGTCGGACCTTCTCTCCTGTCAGAGGCTGGATGTCCTCCAGGCTGTCCATCAGCGGCCCGATGGAGTAGTACTGAGCCTCCCTGTGGACCGCCCGGACCCGGTCCCGGTGAGGAAGCTCCCCTTCCCTCAYGAAGTTCAGGATGTCCCTTTGGATGGAAACGTTTTGAGTGAAAATACACAAAAACCTTTTAACGACTGACCTGACGTTACGACGGTCATACATCTCTGCTTCTCATCACATCCATATTTAAAGACATTTTTCCTTTCAGAACACGGCACAGAGGCTCTGGGTCCAGACTGAAGTGGATTTCTGTCTGCTGCTGGTACCCAGAGGATCTGTTTTTACACTGACATCCTCCTCTCTGACACTGTTTTTACACCTCCGCAAAAGACTTAACTCAGAAAGAAAATGAAAATTATTCTATTTATACTTAATCGTTTTTATTTTTTATTTTTGTATCTGCTGTGTTACATATATTACATTTAGCTAGCTTAGCTAACACTAAAATGGAGCTAACATTAACGCAAAGATAATATTTACAAGAAGCTATTTTAGAAGGTCATTTTAGCTTATGTTCTGCTAGTTTTAGCTGACGTTCAGGTCATTCAAGCTTGTGTTCAGCTTATTTTAGCTGATGTTCAGGTCATTTCCACTTGTGTTCTGCTAGTTTTAGCTAATGTTCAGGTCATTTTAGCTTGTGTTCAGTTTATTTTAGCATATGTTCAGGTCATTTCCACTTGTGTTCAGCTCATTTTAGCTTATGTTCAGGTCATTTCCACTTGTGTTCTGCTAGTTTTAGCTAATGTTCAGGTCATTTCA